CCCCAGATATCAGAGAGAGATTGCAGACAGATTAACAGCAAAACAGCTCTTTGTAATGGAAAATGGAAATGACTGCAGAAGTAGTCACTGAGTCACAAGTCTTCCAGTCACGGACGTTTTAAGAAACATACCACTCTGCCAGCCATGTTGCATTTTTTATTTTGTAGACTATCTACCTTAATATTTATTCACTGATGTCAGAACTCACATTATTCTGCTCTTCCTCATTCAGAAGAGGTTATTCTCAGTGTGGGTCAAAGCCCAGAGGCAGATCCTGGACATCCAGTGAAATGTTCTCCGGTTGTCATAGGTGATGTTCTCCTGAGCAGCCCCGCTCAGAACGGACTCGCAGCGGAGAACTTCATTCACCAATCCATGGCCATCATTATGGAAGATGCAGTGAAAAAGGCCACTGATGTCAGAGAAAAGGTAAAGGTGCAATTACTTACTAGTCTGTGTAGGTATGGCGACTTATGTAAAATGGTTGTTATGCTGCAAGTAAATTTGGAAAGATTCTGTGACGGCAGATTTCTGCTACAGTACCAACACACCTTTAGAGGGTAATCAAGACTACTGCTGCTACAGTTGACCTTGACAGTGAGACATTTGTCCGTGCTTACCAGGTCTGTGAGTGGCGTTCCCCCGAGGAGCTGAAGGAGTTGTTGGACCTTGAGCTGAGAGACGAAGGAGAGTCTGAGTCCAAGACCCTGCAGCACTGCAGAGATGCCATCAGATACAGCGTCAAGACCAGTACGTCTTCAAACTTCAGTAAAAGACGATTGGATGCAGTTCAGGGGGTCAGACTCAAAGAAATGTTTCCTTTAGTTTGAGCAAGTAGCTCCTGTTACTTGCTCAAACTGAAAGTAGTTTGTTTATAGATCATACAGAAGCATCAGCATTAAATTGAGACTGCTTCATAGCCAGTTAAATCTTTGTTAAAGTAAGTTTAAGCCGTCTCGCCTGGTATCCCCTGGCCTGCCCTATTCACCCTAATGCACCAATGCCTCCACACTGGCAACTGGAACTGGCAAACCACTCTCCCGTATCAATTCATATGATATCAGAAATAAATGGTAAATGGTAAATGTGTATAGCAACCTTTCAGTCCCTTCAGACACTCAAAGTGCTTTTTACAACTAAGTGCCACATTCACGCCTTTCAACACCACATACACTCAGTTGAATGGCAAAAGTCCATGCAAACAGAAACTAAGCTCATTCAGACATTCACACGATGGCACAGCATCTGGAGCAATCTTGCTCAAGGATACTTTGATACCCTAAATAAAAAAATTAGGTAACACAACACTAGTCATGTTTTGTGTAAGTTAAGGACATTCGTTGATATTTGTGCTGTTGCCAAGCCACAACTTGCCCTCAGAGAGAAAACAATAACTCACACTTATGCAATCATCTTTTGTAAACTGGTTAGGCTAGTAAAACGATTAAAAGATGCTGAATTGCAATGACATTCATCTGACTGTTAACTGGCTCTGTTCTCTATCATCTCTGTAGCCCATCCTCGTTTCTTCAACCAGTTGTATGCAGGGATGGAGCCCTATTCTTTGGTGGCAAGCTTTATTGTGGAGGCCCTCAAACCCAGTCTGTGAGTCACACAATTTATTCTAATATAGACAGTAAGTCTTACCTGAAATCAAAGTTTAAAATCATGCTGAGTAATGCTATATCTGGTTTTCCGCAGGTACACATATGAAGTGGCTCCGGTCTTTACACTGATGGAGGATGCTGTGCTGAGGAAGATGATGGAGATGATTGGCTGGGAGGAAGGAGGAGATGGAATCTTCAATGCAGGTGCAATCACTGACAGATACTATTAATATTTACACCTCTGTTGCCATGACAGCTTCTGCTTTTTGTTGTTTGCTAATCATTTAATCCACCCCAGAATGTGCTAAGTGCAGGGGCTGTGTTTTAACACCTGTGTGCTGTTTTCCCTCCAGGTGGCTCAATGTCCAACATGTACGCTGTTAACTTAGCCAGGTACCATCACTTCCCTGACATTAAGGAGGCCGGCCTCTCTGCTGCTCCACGACTGGTCATGTTCACATCACAGGAGGTAGGATTTACAGGCAAATTTAAAGGTCCAGTGTATAACAAAACATACCTATAAATAATATATCCATTTCTGACAATAGATCCTCCTTAATGTTACACACT